CCTGACAGCTGCGTTGTAAGCGGATGCACCTTTGTGCTTCGCGGGGTCATAATGACATAGATGAAGGAGTAAGGCGTTTCAACCCAATGGTCAACTTCCTTTCGGACAGCATTAAGAGCATGCGGCACCGACCAGTTACATTCATACGTAGAGCTGGTGTGAACTGTAGTAGCTGGTGATGAATCTTCGTCGTTCATACGGTAATTTTGTGGTGACACGTCATCATCATTATGAGGAAAGTCGTCGGGGAGAAGATGGCTTGTATACTTTATTTTCTTCTTAGGATTTTGCATTGTAAGTGCCCGGATTTGTTTGAACTTTGCAATTGGTATAGGGGTAGGTGGGTTGGGCACTCCGCAATCCAAGCCTGGCATGTGAGAGCAGTGGAAGTGATATGACTTCTTATACACCTCTTCATTTTTTTCATCATCAGGATGTAGAACTCGTGACGACTCACAAAGTTCACACGTGATTTCAACTATTTTCCCCGATAGTTCCGGAGCCCCCGCACACGTAACCGATGTGGCTGTGAGGACATAGTCTACCAATGCCTTTTGTAAGTCATTAATACAGTCGTTTTTAGCTCTATGCTGCATGTCGAATCCATGAAGAAAGCATTTTTCGTCCTTGATGGCGATAACATACTGCCAGTTAGTCGCGTTTTGGATATCCAGTCGTTTTATGTTCACTCCTTTTACTACTTGAAAAGCGTTGAATTCGCGGTCAGGAAATAATTCGCGAAATAGCGGCTGAATGATATCAAGACTGCGTTGCGTGCGTGGGTCGATCACTGTCTGTCTCCCAAGCTTCATCCAGCGGTAACCCCTTCCAGAGGGTATTGCTCCCATATTGATTTTGTCTACATTCGTGCCCATGCACAATTTCAGATGATTGACCACCTGTTTAACTTTAGGCGATGTCCTCCAAGGCGTAGGTCGCTGTGGAATAACTTGGGCTTTGCGACCTGGTAGAAGTGTCCCGTTTTGTGCATTCGGCACCGTAGATAACGGGCATTCCGCTATCGGATTGGCATTGTCGGTGTCTTGTTGGTGAGACACCCCCTCCTGGTTTACAGGAGTACTCACCCCCTCCAGGGTTTGACTCTCTAGGGGAGGAATATCGTCCAAGACGGATGATGCATCATCTTCGCCATCTGTGCCTGGGGCAGGTTGATGCTTCAGTCGGGTAGCATAAAATCGCCGTGGCTCGGATTCGCCATTAATTGATGCCTTGACGTACTTGTCGCCTTCAAGTCCCACAACTGAACCCGTCAAATCCCAGAGGCCAGTGCTTCCATTGTAAGCTCTAACCAGTTCGCCCGATCGGAATACTGGATGTCGTGGCGCATAGGCCTTTAGGGCCTTCTTTAGAATTTGACAGCTACGCATTTGGATCAAAGCTTGTTGAACCACGATAGCATAATACTGCTCCTGTGATCCTACGACCGAACTAGTGGGCTCCCCCACTATATTTTCGAGCAGAAGCTCTCCTGGGAGGACATGACGCGGCACGACTTTAAATTTTATCTGATTAGGTGTCAAGCCCGAAGATAGAGGAAGGCTGCACTTCGCAGTCGAAGCTTGTGCCGCTACGCGTGCATAATTCGGAACGGTTGGCCCTTGCCCGCGGATCGCTTCGATCGACCGTTGTACTATCTCCTTACAGATTGCTCCTTGGCGTTCCGAACAGGACTGAGCTACCGAGTCGTAAACCGGGCCGAATTCCAAACTTTCTACGTACTGCTCGAGTCTGGCCTTGCCTGATTCTCCGATGAAATGGCGAGCATTGTCACAAAACATATACTTTGGGTAGAAAGGAAGACCACGACAGTAGTCCAAGAAGGTCTGCTCAATAGCGTCAATGTCCTGCCTGGGCAGATGGTATATAGCAGAGGTTTTGCCAAAGTAGTCGTCGAAATGAATGAACGCCTCCGACCTGTGACCTTGAACTTTAGCCATGAAGATATCGAAGCCTACTTTATGGCCTGAGTAGTCAGCAAAATTGCTAATAGATACCTTTTGCGTCCTGGGTTTCGGAGAATAGAGCTGGCAGGGGGAACAATTTCCACACACGTTTCGATATTCTTTAATTGTTTCCGGGTCTATTCCCGCTTGGACCAGTAACTTCACCACCCCAGGCAGGTTATGACCAAGCTGCCTGTGAATTTTATCACAAAAAGTTCTCCTTTGAGATGGTCGCATTTTCATTTCTCTACCTGTATAAGTCTTTGTCAGTAATTCTCGAACAGACGGCATAGACCATTCTTGTTCGACCACCTCAACAGGACATATTAAGTGTGGTAGGTGTTGAGATTGTTGTGCTTGTTTATCAAAAGAGACGAAGCTGAGGGAATAAGTATCCTTCCCATGCACATTCAAGGGGACTTGCGTCATTCTCGGATTTTCTACTCTGCTAGGTTCAGATACCGTTATGGTATTAGTATTGAAGTCTAGAATTGCTCCCATGGCTCGGAGAGTAGGTAAGCCTACTAAAGGCGTCTGGGATCCCAGGCCGTTTTTGTCCTTGGGGATCACTTCAAAAGAGATTGTCCCGGTGAAGTAGTTGTTAACAAATGGAATGACCCACGTCCCTATGGACAAGCCTGTGCCGCCACCTGCATATCGCAGCTTGACTTTCGAAGGAAGGACTAGTCCTTGATCAAGGTGCCTATTGCGTAGTTCATGTCTCCACTCTTTCATTTGGACTTCCCCAATAACGTTGAGGGCAGCGCCGCTGTCAATGATGCATTCTCCAATCGAGAACTGTTTCGAGCTTTGAGACATATTATTAATGACGTACGTACCAAATGTGTCTTGGACAACGGTAGGATTGTGTGTAGTGGGAGTAGCCATTTTGTGGAAAGATGAACTGAGAGGGGCGATAGTCATCGAGGATAACATAGTTTTGACTTCCTCTACGGAAGCCGATTCTAAGATTTGAGGTACCATTTCCTGGATGAGCGGATGATTCAGCTGGTCCTGGATATCTTTGTCGACGGCCAACGCCTGTTTTTCCAATTCAAGGTCACCTTGAGGATCATCATCTTGTAATTCATCGAAGACTTCCTCCGATACTTCATGACCTTGTTCATGAGCGGCCAATACCATTTCAGCGAACCGCACATGTCGGGGCTTACTTTTACCCTTGCCTTTTGCCTTTCCCTTATCGGTAGGGTTTTTGTGCTGTTGGAGATACGAAGGAGGAGGTCCCTGTGGCGGCAACTTATGTTGTGATTTGCCATAAAGATTTTGTTGCGGACGGCCATTACTACCTTTGTACCAGCGATTCCATTTTGTTTTGTGGCGCTTGTCATTCGGAATAGCACCTTTGCCCCAAGAACGAATCTGTTGAGTTCTCTGCGATCGCCGGATGAAGAAGCATTGATGAACTGGATCTTCTTCATATTCACTTTCACTTTCGGGCTGTTCTGGGAAGTATTGATATTCATCATCGTCATGCTGGTTGTGTTCACCTATGTGATTAACTGGAATCATCGTGTTGGAGGAAGATGCTCCTGTACCCAGAACATGATGAGGTTCTTTACCAGATTTCGTCGCTTGGACCACTCCTCGAGCCGTTTTCATTTTGGCTACGTAGTTTTTGACTTCTGAAAATTCGAAGGGATTCGAATCGGTGCAGATTTTGATGATGTCGTTGTTCGTAAGAGTGAGGTTTCCCATTGCGATCAACGAGAGAATGATACCCGAAAGAAGTTCAGTCGGGACTATTGGAAATGACATGGGATCCTTTTGGAGTCCAAGGTCAGCATACACCTGCAGCATAGCCTCAAACGGACAGACTTCGGCGAAAGTATTGTCCAATCGATACGGTGTGGCATGATGTTGTTCTGGAAATTTCTTGCAGATAGGACATCGTAGTCCAGCCCCAAGCGTTAGCTTGGCTTGTTGAGTGTGAAACTCATCTCTGCAGATGCGTTCCATGTCAATGTTCATTGAGTCCGTAGCTAAGAGCTAGTATAAATAATATTCCTCCACGAGAAATAGACCGGAAGAATGAATGCACAAAGCAAAACAACACGATGTGAGTTGTTCAATACATGTAGTCACGTGCCAGTAAACTGATCGACCTTGTCATCGAAGGTAGGAATGCCATGTCTACTTCTACGAGAATGAATGGTGAAATACCATGGTATTCAAAACGAGAGGAACGTCGAGAACCAAGACATTACTTTGAAGTCGTCGCAAGCTGAAACGAGCAGTGGACCAAGAAGAAGAATTCTGTGGTGTGACGAGAAGAAAATCGTTCTGTAAATGAGAATCGTGAATCGTAATTAATCGACCTCGTGACAAGAACAATATTAAATCATTTGTTAGCCTTTCATTGAAATTCTAACCCAAAGCGAAAATATCACTTTATCCTCTCACAATCAAACTTTGATAGTTTCTTCAGGACCTAGGTGTTCATGTTTCCCTGTTCTATACGTGTATCTTCTTGGTACTGTGACTCCCTTCTGTTAGACTAGTTTCTTATTCAGCTTCTGAATAATTCTTCGTTTATAAACTCTGAAATTCTGACAAATCTTATGATGATGAAACTCTTGAATGTTCCTTCATTAAAGACTGGCTGTGCTGTACATGCTCCATGTACTTTTAAGCTACTACGAGTAGCCATTCTCATGACATTGTGTTTTCCATATGTGCTTGGATGTTCTGTTTATGCAGAACAAAGGAAAGTGTGTTCTTCGCCAGTGGACAAAGAATTGGAAATACAAACTCCTCGTCATGTTGGTTTCCTTGCAACTAGTGTACCACGACTGTGGTACCCAAAACAATCCCTACGAGGGACAAAATTGGTGATTGGTGGTGGGTATATTCGATCTGATGGATCCTTAGTAGTCGGTTCTTCCCCCCGGGTAAAAACCGATATTGGTAGCGGAGAGTGGTTCCTGAGTTCTCTCACTCACCATCGAGCTACGGCTCCACCAACGAATATTTGTTTATTTAGTCTAACAGAAGGGAGCTATTACGACTTTTTAAGTGTGATTATTTACCTTTTTCTGATTAGATTTCGAAAATTCAATATCAAAACCATGGGAGGAGATCGGGACGGAACGAGACCGCCCGTGTTCCGAGGGACTCCAACCAAACTCCGCAAGTTTGAACAGCAGGCCCAACTCTTCATCGACGGGCATAAAAAGGAAGAGCCCAAAGTAATCATCGAAATGGTACAATCTTGGGACGATGAAGTCCAAGAACAACTATACGAACTTATTGGAGGAGTCGGAGAAGTTAAGTACATCAGAACATTAGACAAGCTACTAGAACATCTTCACCACATCGCATTTGGCAGTCGACGAGAGCAGAATGCTGTACTCTCATACCTGAAGCAGCTTCTCGATCACAAAGTGGATCAAAGTAGTTCAGTACAACGACAACTCCGCGAATTCGACGAGAAGGTGACTGATTTCAACCAGAACGTCTACCAGGCTGGTATCGGAGTCACCGGAAAACAAGGTGGAGTGAACAATACTTGTCCTGAATGCAATGAAGACAACTTACCTCACAACGACCATAAAGACTACTGCAGCATGGGATATGAGACCATGGTCTACCCCAAGGACGTCATCGGAGACCACATCAAGAGTCTGCTCCTGATTATTAAAATGAAGTTGTCTGAAGAAGAAATGATAGATTTGCTACACCGAGTCGACATTCTCAAGTACCAAGAAGTACGAAAATTCATGCTTACGCGAGACCGGGCTAAGCGTGTACTACAACATTCTTCAACAAGTAGTAAAAGAAGCAACGTCTACAAAGTGGCCGGATTGGACGAAAGCTTTGAATCAGACTATGACGTTGTCGGAGATAGCAGCGAATTTGAGTCCCAAGAGGACGAATTAGACTTCGGTGATCTGTCTCCCACATCGCAGGAACAAGTAACTGACATATTATTTGCTGGACGCGCCCAACAAAAGGGAAAAGGAAAAGGGCGAGGGAAAAACTCGTACCGTGGAATCTTCAATAAGCGATTTTTACGAGGATCTCGAGGTGCTGTCGCACAATCAGGCCGTAAGCGTCAAAACGCCCCAAGAGGAATTCGTCTAGTAGAAAAGGGAGTAGGTTTCTTCAAAGGCAACTGCTGGATATGCGGGAAAAATGGGCACCGCGCAAGGGAATGCACGAGCAGTAACAAGGAGGAATTTCAAAGTATCCGGGCTGTTGCATGCGAACAATTTGGAATTACAATCGATACCACGAGTAGTCTAACGTCATCTTCTTCGACCTCTACGACCCAGGCAGGCCATGCTACGAGCGGCAACACAAGTTCTTCGACGGGTCAAGATCGATCAGTATCATTTGGCACAATGAACGTGTGCACCACGAGCTCCGAAGAAGGTGAAACAATGGTATTTTATTCTGCTTCTGAGTTTTGGCATGAATTAGATGATTTCGCAGATTGCGCCACTGAAGAGGAAATAGAACAAATGTCATATCACGAGTGTAGTGAAGATGAAAACATGTGGCACCCCATCGACTTAGAATTTTTTGACTGTGATCTCTTATCGCAACGTGATATTTCAAAACTGCGGGAATTAAAAAGACTCTTCCACGGAGGAGAAGGAGTTTTTGATGCTGTTGAAGGAACTACCTTACCGGCTACGAGCCAAATCAGCGTAGTCTTCGCTGGACCGTGTAGCGAAGAAGAAATCCTTCTCAACTGGAAAGAGAACTTATGGAATGTCTGTCCGGTTGGTCAAAAGAAGGGGGATATTCCTTTCAATCAAGGGATTATAGACTGCGGAGCATGTCTCAATGTAATAGGAATTAAACGACTTGGAATGATACTCCGGGCTCTCAAGGAACAAGACATTCCTGTTCCCGTAATCCTGCCTTCCAAGAGAAAGCTAAGGTATGCAGACGGCAACATAGGACTGAGTAAAGGCATGATTCACCTACCAATTAGGAATCCTGCCTTTGAGTTAGTAATTAATGTGGAAATTATTGACGGAGATACTCCCCTGCTATTGGGTTTGCCAGCCTTGAAGACCATGGAAAGTGTAATCGACTTCAGCCGTAAACGAATGTGGATTCGTAAACGTGGAAATGCTCGCAGTGTGAAGATCTTAAGTCCTCTGACTAATACCTTTACTATTCAACTGTTACCCGATGGTATCAGTGATACTCCCAGAAGCAGTAAGCCGCACTTCGTTGGGATGTTATCTGAATATGAAAATAGTGATGGCAATATTAAACAAAGCATTGCTGATATGATCAATGCACGATATCGACCCGCGACTTTCCAGCTTCCCGTGGAAAATTACAAGAAGTTCTGTGCAAAAATCCACAAAGCTCTCGGACACAATAAAGAAAAAATTGTCCTCATGCTACGGCATGCCGGAGCTCCTGTTGACTTAATCAAAACCTACGAGGAAGTGTGCAATGGTTGTGATTTATGCAATAAGTATAAGCAGAAGCCACGAGTTCATCCGGCTGGGGTATCGAACTATGTGGATGACAAAAATGTTTTCTGGAAGAGCGATGTCGTTTTTCCTGATATCTGTGGTAAGAAGGTTCCATTTTACCATAGTGTCGACCTGTACGCAGGTGATTCCTTCGTCCGTTATTTACAACGTATGGACGACAAATGCTTCTTAAGACAGTGTTATGACCAAGGTCATTACTGGAGGGGTTTTCCCTCCATGTGGGAATTTGACGCTGGGTCAAACTTTGCGAGCAAGACTGCTCGTAAAGAACTAGGAGCAATGATGAGCTGCAGTTCTTTTTACTGGGACGACAAAGATTGGGAACATACACACGGGGGACGTCCATCATTCGCACCTGCCAGCACTCCGGAAGCTGTGAATTTCGTAGAAAGACGTGGAGCTTGGATCAAAAAGCTTCTTGAAATCACTGCCGAAACATATTATGATCATTTTGAGAAACTCCCTGATCTATATATGCTAGGCATGGAGGTAAGCAGGATTGTCGAAACGCTTCCCCTGTCTCAAACTGGGGAAACCCCGTCAGATCGACGACTGGGGAGAGTCCCAAGGGACTGGATCCCTAGTGATCTCTTAGACCTAACTCTCCGTGGACCAGGAGGTGAGATCTGCCAAGAGCAGGAATTAATCAGAACCCTGGCCAAACTTGCAGTCCAACAAGTACGATCAACTGACGTTATCGAGCGTGCCTATAAGAATTACGTTCCTCGAGGAAACCGAACTTATAAATCTGGGGAAAAGGTAAGAGTCTGGGATCCCAAGACCAAGAAATGGAGTAGAGAAGGTTACTTTGTCGACCACGAAGGGGACAAATATCAAATAATCCAGTTCCAAGGAGACGCGAAGGCTACGAGCCTCAAGAGTAACTGGGTCCGCCATTGGACCGAGGACGGAGTTATTCCCAATGTGATTCCCGAGGAATTGGAAGAAAATGTAGGTGATACGGAAGAGAATGATGCATGTAAATTGTCTACGGACTTTCCTCCTACAGGGGGTGCATCAAGTTCATCCGGACACCGAGGCTCGAATCCCATGCAGCGAACAGAGGCCATCCTGAAGGCCCCTGAATATGAGTTTGACAGTAGTCTTAAGAATATTTTAAGTGGCTGTGAGCGAGCTTTTGAATTTGCTAAGGCAGATCAATTCAGTGTTGAACTGGGGCCATGTGCATCCAGTTTAAACGGGAAACGTGTATACCGCCGACCAGGTCGAAATCTGGAACTTTTTAAGGCTTTACAAGAGTTCGGTGACAACAAAATGCACGGTAGATATAACAGTATGCGCATCTGCAAGGGAACGCACTGTAACAAGTTTGCCTTACTTGACCGAGGATGTGCCCAAAAGGTTATTGTGCTCCTTAGAAACCAAAAATTCAAGATCATTGACTTTTTACCCGAGGTAAGAGGAAGACACATGGACATCAAGAGTGCCCTTCAAGAAATGGACTGTTCTTTTGTGATCACTTTAGGACGAGACAAGAGCAGAGGGCCCGACGGAAAATTAGAATGTGGAACAGTGATCTGCAAAGATCCTGAATGTCGTAAAAGTAGAACTGTTCGATTAGGTGAACAATATGAACTAAATAGTTTTTTCCCATCCGGAATTCGGTGTAGTGATTTACGAGGGTGTGGATGTCATGTTCCTTCCGAGATAAATTCAATCTGGTCTCGGAGTAAGGAAGTTGAGATTATTAGCAATAAGGAAGTGTCACTTATCCATAACACTCCCAAGGGAGAAAAGTGGACTCGAGACAGAAGTGATCCTGGACCAGGCGACGATGAATCGGAAGGTCTGATTTCTGAGCCGAGTTCTATTTCTGAGAAGAATCTCGACCCTGCAGGGGGTGCCCTGAGGTCAAAAGGAAATCCTCTCTCTAGGATGTTTCTACCACGACCAGGAATGCAAAATCATGACCAGAACAGGGCTCCGAAAAGGCCACGCGAAACTACGAGTTTCTCTTCCGACGGAGACAAGGATGACATTGTCCCTAAACGTGCTCACATAAATCACATCCTGGAAGACTATGAAGTAGGAGAAACGTTTAACAATAACCGTCTTGATAGTGTGGAGTCATGGTGTGCATCCCATCGCTGGAGGCTGTGGGTTGGCCAAGGCCACGACCAACAACCTGATCCAAATCTGACCCTTGGGAGCATCGTGATTAACCCTCACTCTGGTGTAATTACTGAGAAAGTATCATGTTCGGGAATACCTACCGGAAAATATGGATTGTGCCTTCACAGGGACGACCGTTTCTTAGGAGATACCTCCGGAATTCGAATGATCAATGAAAAATTGGACGTCTATCACTGTTTTAATGTTAAAAGCAACATTGGAAAATATGATCATATCGAGTGTGATGATCTGGAAGAAGCACTCCAGGGAATGACGGCACACTTGCCCGTTGTGTATCGGATCATCGATCAAGACCACGCTACGGCATTAAGAAAAAGTGGAGATTTTGAAACGATCCAATCTGAAAGTCTTGAACTAGGGTTCCAAACAGTGTTTTTAGTCCAAAAAGAACTAACAAACGAACAGGTCAATAGCGACACTGTAGATCCTGGCTTTCGGGAAGCTGAAGAAAAGGAATGGAAGAGTTTCCTTGATAATGACAGTATTGAGGTTATCCCTCGGTCACAAGCAAGAAATTTAGTCAAGCCACGGCTTGTTCGAACGTACAAGTATGAAAACCCTAGTGATCCCCATGAGGTCACAAAAAGAAAGGTTCGCGCTATCCTCCAAGGCTTCTCCGACCAGCGACTAAGAAGCGGGCTTCTAACTGACAGTCCAACTGTCATGCTCGCAAATTTGCGTTTAATGATACAATTAGGACTACAAAAGTCATGGGACTACAAAGTATTTGATGTCCCGACCGCCTTCCTAAGAGGAAGAATCGATCAAGGGGGAGTCGAGTTTGACCCTCCAGAAAATCTAAGACGGATGTTAAACATCCTGGATCGGCCAGACTTAGTATGTCGATGTAAATCATCAGTCTACGGACTAGCGGATGCGCCGCGAGCTTTTTACCTACAGTTCCGATCGGATTTAGAAAAAAGAGGATTTCAAGTTTCATCAGCTGATCCATCTATTTTTCTTTATTTTCAGGAAAAGGGTCAAGGAAAATTGCCCTCAGATAAAAACTCTGCTCGAAAGGAATTGTCCCATTTAATTCAACGAAGAACGGCTAGTGCCGAGGGAACGCGTCACCATGACATGATGGAATATCTAGATAAAGAACTGGTTAACAGGAGAGAATTAATCGGATTTATCGCTTTGCATGTAGACGATGGTCTAGCCTACGGGAATAAGCATTTTCTTGACTCCGTGATCGGAGACTTGGCCAAGAGCTGGGGAATCTCGGAATTCAAAACAGGTGAATTCAAATACCTGGGCGGAAGAATGATTCCGCAAGATCGCGAGACTTTGTTTATTGACTTCTCAGGACACCTAGAAAAATGTAAACCAGTCAAGATCCCACAAGATTTTGGTGGAAACGAATTTGGTGATGATGTACCCCTGAACAAGGTCCTACACAGCGAATACCGCTCCTTACTTGGAGTTATTGCCTACGTGGCTTCTCATGGGCATCCATTAGGATGTCATGAGGTTCATAAATGTTCAAGCTTTGCGAGTGCCCCCACTTATGGGCACCTACGTGAATTGAACAAAGTATGTAGAAAAATGAAGCATCTTCCCATGCGAATTAAGATGAGCAAGCAGGAGGAACCCTTTTTGGCTGTCTATGGTGATGCTTCCTTCGCGACCGGAAGAAGCGGGAAAACTCCAGTCGGGCGAGTATTAGCCCTAGCTTCAAGCCAAGCCCTGAGCTCTGAAGAGCCAGACGATGCCACGGCATCACTCCTAAGCTGGAAGTCTCATAATTTACATCGCGTTGTGCATAGTACAAAGGCAGGAGAGACCTTATCCATTGTAGAAGCCGTGGATTCTGTGGAACTGATGAGATTTCTGTGGTACGAAGCAAGCGGAGAAATATTACCGATCAAAGTTTATACAGATTGTCAGTCACTGATCGGATCCATGACAAAGATCTCGTGTCCTAAGGAAAAAAACTTAGCTTTAGCCAATGAAAGAATTAAACAATGGTTAGAACAAGACTACCAGGATGAATTTAGACACATCAATACCGAGCACCAGCTCGCTGATGCACTCACCAAAGCTTTTACCTTCTCTGAGAAGAATCTGCTATTCCAGTTGTGTTGTGAAGGTATCCTACGAGGATGTCGTCGAAATAAGACGACAAGACTAAAGAAGCTGAGTCGTAGTAAGAAGTGTTATACAAGTAAGCATAAGAACCAAGTTGGAATATTTGAACAAAACGTCCAAGGAAGCTTAGTAGTTTCGAGTGCTCCAGGAAGAGCTGATGCGATACACTACAGCATGAAGGATAGAGATCTCGAAAACCAGCGAATTGTATCTAAGATTCACCACGCTCATTCTCAACCATCCCACAACTTCCCTGCTCCAGGCAACCCTTCGAGCCATGGCTCTAACGTCGGATTCCAGCGACGACTCACCGATCAGCAGGGAGAAGATGAAGAAATAATTGGGCGATGCTGCGAGGAATTCACTGGTGAAACCTACGGGAAATCAAGTGGGAAGATGGATACTACGGGTACAAGAAGGACTGAAGGAAAAGGGGAAAACTGGAATGTTGTCCACGGACATTTTATTGATTTTAATGACAAGATTATGAATGTGTTGGAATCAACTATGGTGAATGATGTGACAAATCAATTAATTTCTGAGTGTCCAAGAGACAGAAATAATCCTGCACTGGAGCAGAAATGGAAATTCTGGCCCACAAAGGATTGTTGGACATTGGAGGTTGATGTGGCGACTTGCAGGAAAATAACCCCATGCAAGTGGAAAAATGGGCCTAACCCAAAATCATTGACTAACAAACGAAAGATCTGCTATGTCTTCTGTGATGACATTTATAAAGAAAAGCATATTTTAAAGGATAACTGGAAAATGAACGGGTCTAATCCTATTGACTGCAACAGGACCTGGAAAGGAGTTGTTACCTTCTTTCAAAAAAGAGAGTAAAAAAGAGAGTAGTTGTTTTTTGTGTAAAAAAGGGTGACGTTAGAATCCCTAATTGTCATTCAAAATTATACCTCCCTTTCTTCCTAGGAAAGGAGTGAAACATGACAACTCATTCGGATGAAATGGGGAACAAAATTCCCCGTATTCCCAGTGAGACCCGTGAGGAGGACGAGTGGATGGGTCCCTCCTCATCCGAGAGTCACGGTTGTTTACGTATTCGTGTCAAGGGAGGTTGCTACGAGCTGGACGAGTTTCGCGTAGTCACTATTCAGTTTTCCAGTTTCCAGGAAGTTCGAGAACTGTGTGATCATCTTCAAGAAAAGGTGACATTTCGTATTGCTGATCGAGATGACAACAGTAAGAAGCGACAACAGATTTTTATGGGACGCGAACAGGAGATTCTGCGCTGGTGGTCAAACAGTTACAACGAATCCGTAAGAGTCGAAACGAAACGTTTTGGCTTGCAGCTGTGCACTGGACTGATGGAACTACGAACTGCCAAGAGCACCAAGAAGGACAGTCATCCAAGCAAAGCGAGCAGTAGTACTAAGAGTACACATCGTTCTTCTTCAAAACAAACTACTGATGGAGTTGTGGCGAACATCATGTCCAAGGACCTCAAGAAGTTCACTGATGTGCACCTTCTATATGAAGATCTCCATCTCATCAACCAACGAATTGGATGGCCTAAGAAAGAGGAACCTTTAGCATTAAACTCACGCAGTGCGAAGGGAAAGGAGCCTCGAGTCTCATCTTCATCAAGTGCCACGAGCCCTAACACCAGTCAGATTGCAAACGCAATACTGGAAACTGTTCAGTCTGAAATGAAAGCGATGTACGCCATTATGCAGGAGAACATGCAGAAAGGACTTCTACATGAAATGCAACAGCTGCACTCCGAGATAAAAGGAAAGATGCAACATGATCTACGAGAAAGTCAATCACTCATGGAGAATGTGCTTGGACAACAGAAGGCAGAGATGCAAAATGAACAAGCTGCACGGAAAGTAGCTGTGGCAGCGGCGTCAGAAGCAAAGGAAGAGGTTCGAAAGATGGTTGAACTGATGAAAGACCGTTTCGATCAAACTTCTGACACTGAACCGGAAGACGGAACTGTCGTACGCGACTAATTGTGTTGTTAAAGACAATATTCTACGAAAAGCCATGAGCTTGATAGATGAGTGTATGTTCACCTGAATATCGACCATGAGTCATGAAGAAGCCACGAGCAAAGGATAAATCACTTTGTATAAGACCGAGTCCTGGAAGCAACTAAAGAAATGTGTTCTTGCACAAAAACAAGGAAATGTGAAAAAGAAAAAGCATTACTGTGAATGACGAAGACAGATCCCTTGTATCCCCGAGATGTATAAAAATTTCTGTATTGAAAGTTAATACAAAAATTCATTATGGATCATATTAAAACAGGAGGATATAAGTATTATATCTGGCTTTTCTCCCACAGGAAAAGGAAAAAACTTCAATCCATGAATTCTCCACCTTTCATAGTGACAAGGATTGTTGTTCATGAAGAGTTTAGATGTTCACAGAGAAAGAAGGAAGTATACTAAGTACCTCAAGACGCGAAAGATGCCCTCTGTCGCAGCCAAGAGGAAGCGCATGAATCGTTCCCGGAAACGGAGATGCGACAACGAGGAGAAGGCGATCCCTCGTGAACCCCGTGATGCCTCCCCTGTCATCGAAAAGAAGAAGTCTGATGCCAAAAAGGCACAGAGCAACTCCAATAACCAAGGCCGCATCTCATGGGCTGACGATGAGAATTTATCTTCTAGTCCTGCCACGAGCAATGTGACTATGAAGAGTGGAAGTGACGATCGAGGTAATTTCCGATATCGTGTAATACGCTCTCCACGAATACGAGAATTTACCCCTTCTACATCTTTTCCCTTAAATCGTTACTGCACTATTATCTTTACTAACGGAAATCGGGTAAGGTTTCAAACGAAAGTAACAAGTGAGTCTGGGGTTCCTACTCCTTGTGATACCATGATGAAACCTGAAGGTGATGATGTTTCCTTGCCATCTAGTTGGATTTCAATATCTCCAAGTCTTCCTTCCAGGGTGTATAAGTTCCTGATGAGATCGCCTACCTTTAAGAAAGTATGTCGTAAACTATACTTCACCCCACCTGACCATATACACACAGGTGACGAGGAAATCATCATCGAAGAGAGCCAAGGCTCCAAAGGTTCTACGAAGGATAGGAACGACTCCAAGGAGTCACGAGGACGTCATCTTGAACTTCGCGAAACAAGTGGACGACCGAGTTCCAAACGAAGCAGTGCTTCAAAGGAAAGTGATGACGATTCAGCGAGTGGTAGTGCTGGTGCTGACTATAATAGCGCTACAAATCATCATCCAACATCAAGCCCTGCATTTACTACAGTGAACCGTTCCAAGAGAAAGAAAAGTAGGAGCAGCGAGAATGTAGACCACTATAGTTCCGAGACAAGTAAAAGTAACAGTTTGTCTTCCAGTGCTACGAGCATGGAGACCGGTTTTCTTCCCTGTATCGAGGGATGTAAATACAAAGAAGAACGCGAGCGACGTCCGTATCCAGATTGGACGACGGCAGGAACTGGTGGAATGACCAACGCGCGTCGCATTCGGGAAGGACGTCTAGTGAGCTGGCGCGCTGTTAACCGTCGTCCCCATCTTCTAAACAGCTCAGGACGAGGAATTGATAGCAGGAATATTGGTCTGGACAACATACCCGATGACATCTTCTGGGATCTGAACATCGACCTTGAGCCAGTACCTAACATGTGTCATTGTCGCCAAGGCATTTGGGACTTCATCAACTTGAAAACCAGTAGTCGTCTTCTTGTCAAAAATCCTCGATATGACCCAGTAAAATGCTATCAACGTCTACGAGAGTACATGCGGGAAAATCCCTATGCCAACGCTCTCCAACTAGCCCAGTTTCTCATGGATCCGAAGATGATAATCATGTACTTGGGCAACTGCGACTCTCTTCGCGAACATGATGAATTTTTCAGCGGTGCACTACGAGTGACATATCTACTTGAACAAGATCGACACTTCACAACAGATTCGACTCCAGACGATCCTCTTCGCCCAAAGTACGATTCTATCGCCGAAAAGGAGTTCGACGACGGGCAATTTTACGGACGCAGCGCCGGAGCAATCATGTTCTACATTGAGCAATACTTCGGTGGAAGCGGGACTATAGGAAAAGCTAAGGCTTGTGAATGTCCGTTTTATCAGCAGATGCTCGACGATTTCTACTACGAGAGAATTCGGAGTCGGAGGGAAAAACAACTTCATCATCCTAACGCTGCTACTAATCCCTACTTTAAGTATGAAGCAAAAGGGACGCACGGAAATAACTACCGTGGAAATTATAACAGCGGTTGGGAATCCAAGGGTTCACATGATGAATATGCTGGTCCGAGTCGTTCGAACCAGAAGGATAACAAAGGATCCAACAGCCTACGAGGTGAAAAGCAAGGAAAAGGACGTTCTTCAACTCCAAACTCTACATGTGGACGAGCAGTTCCTCTGAATCAGACCGAGTTTCCCACTCTAGGTTCTACATCAAAAGGAAAAGGGAACAGCAACTCTACTCAAGAGAAAGCAGATGGAAAAGGGGGATCTCTGGCAGACCAGATTATTGGGCAGAGAAAAGAGGGTGAGAACAAGAGATCTCGTAATAGTCAAGGAGGTCTAGGATGGTCAGGCGATGCTACGAGCACCACAGTTGGTCGTGAAGCAGGATCGAGTACTACAAGTGCGTCTGCCCACCACGTGTCCCACGCATTTGGACCACCACCACCAAGCTTACTACCCACAACTCAACCTCAACTCGGATTCTTACCTTCTATGAGCAGTACATCCTCCTTCCCTGCGAGTTTAGGAGGAGACACGACCAAGATGGAGAATCAATACGGAAAGGGATATGCGAACGAGTATATACACCCGGAGCAGCCAGGACGCCGTGACGATCCCAACACACCAGCTCCAGGGAACACTGATTCAAACTCTAGTGGACCAGATCTGGCAAGTTGGCAGAATGAAGCCTATTGGCATTTCGACCTCCACGCTAACAAGTGGTGCGTCTGGAGTTGGAAGAATGCTGAGAAAACAGCATACTTTGTACGGTATCCTCAAGGAGGGGGAAAATGAGCTATGCGCTCTTGTAACATGTTGTTGTCTACGAGACAAAACCATTCAGAATAAATAAACAAATATTACATTGGTGCAGGGGGTGTGTCAATGTTCATTGAGTCCGTAGCTAAGAGCTAGTATAAATAATATTCCTCCACGAGAAATAGACCGGAAGAATGAATGCACAAAGCAAAACAACACGATGTGAGTTGTTCAATACATGTAGTCACGTGCCAGTAAACTGATCGACCTTGTCATCGAAGGTAGGAATGCCATGTCTACTTCTACGAGAATGAATGGTGAAATACCATGGTATTCAAAACGAGAGGAACGTCGAGAACCAAGACATTACTTTGAAGTCGTCGCAAGCTGAAACGAGCAGTGGACCAAGAAGAAGAATTCTGTGGTGTGACGAGAAGAAAATCGTTCTGTAAATGAGAATCGTGAATCGTAATTAATCGACCTCGTGACAAGAACAATATTAAATCATTTGTTAGCCTTTCATTGAAATTCTAACCCAAAGCGAAAATATCACTTTATCCTCTCACAATCAAACTTTGATAGTTTCTTCAGGACCTAGGTGTTCATGTTTCCCTGTTCTATACGTGTATCTTCTTGGTACTGTGACTCCCTTCTGTTAGACTAGTTTCTTATTCAGCTTCTGAATAATTCTTCGTTTATAAACTCTGAAATTCTGACAAATCTTATGATGATGAAACTCTTGAATGTTCCTTCATTAAAGACTGGCTGTGCTGTACATGCTCCATGTACTTTTAAGCTACTACGAGTAGCCATTCTCATGACATTGTGTTTTCCATATGTGCTTGGATGTTCTGTTTATGCAGAACAAAGGAAAGTGTGTTCTTCGCCAGTGGACAAAGAATTGGAAATACAAACTCCTCGTCATGTTGGTTTCCTTGCAACTAGTGTACCACGACTGTGGTACCCAAAACAATCCCTACGAGGGACAAAATTGGTGATTGGTGGTGGGTATATTCGATCTGATGGATCCTTAGTAGTCGGTTCTTCCCCCCGGGTAAAAACCGATATTCCATGCTGGTATTGAAGATTTTGGATTTTTGTTCCAGGCGACGCATAGCCGCATCGAGGGTCTCCCCTTTTTCTTGGGAGATTCGTGCCAATTGTGTGAAGAGGTACAAGACTCTAGTACCTACATTGTCGCCAACAGCAGCCTCTTCTACTTTTTCTAAAAAGTCTTTAATTGCGCCCCCCGCTTTGGGATTTTGAGCCATTTCTTGATATAAACCCTGTAGGCCGCCGTGGTACTTTGCTAATACATCATCCGCAAAGGATGGCTCCAGCTTATGGATGAGTTCTGCCACTTTGGCTCCTTCCTCTTTTTTTGAAGCTCTAATGCAGTAGAGGAGGACGTTGTTCTTATATGTCTCAAGCATGGCGAAGTCGCCCGCAAACGTTGGGACTTGCTTTGCGTTGCCGCCAGCGTCATCGTTGTCACTGCCCATTTTGTGGTATGGGATTAGGTACTGTATCCAAAAGTGATCTATTTCGCAGTCGTGATTAAAAAAAATTTCCGGAAATTCTACTATTTCGGGAAAGAAGGAATCGTTATTAAAATACACATCCTGCGCGGTATTCTCCGCTACCAGTGTGAGTGATCGTGATTGCTTTCCCTCTTGTCGTTGAGGATTTCCTCCTCTTATAGGAGGATGATAATACTTATTACTGCTCCATCTATGCCTAAGCAATCTATTACTCTTTGGGCTCTTTCTCAATTGAGACCGATTACCGACGCAGTGATGATCATCTTCTTCCCCTTGGAAACAGAGATCATTCCGTGACCTGATGGGATGCTTCATCTCGATGCCACCTGAGATTGTGGTAGTGTCCCTTTTCAGGGTAAGTCCGAACACGTTGTATGTCACTTCCAAATTGTCAACTACTAGAAGCTTTATGACAAATAGTTCTGGATTAGCTCAGACTCGAAGATCCGGGGAAAACTATCTCCTGTGAGATTTGCTGCAGGATGAGAGAAGTCTTATCCCAAGATGGTGGCAATCATCTCGCCAATACCAAGAGGTCTACTACAAGGCCCATGCATTTGTTCCTTCCTTTGAATGGTGAATATAATTAGAATACTAATATTCCAAGCCGAAAGGATGATACCAATTATAGATACAATAATCCCAAATTGATGATCCATAGGATGATATGAGAAATAACAGAGTGATAACATACCGGAATACAAGATACCAATATACAAGATACACGACCATACAGAAATACGGGATACCCAAACTATGGTTGAGTTGGTTTGCATTGAGGTCATAACTCATATCTGCAAGAGGTCAGATTTCAATATTCCTTATTTGGTCTATCTTCCTTTCTTCTTGATTCCCTTCTTTATCCCTTTGTCCATTTCTCTTCGTCCCTTCTCATCTTCAGTTCACCTCTCTCGAGTTGTCCGCCTCTCCTTCACTCGGCATTACCTTGTTATGCCTCCTCGAGCAACTACACTATTGTAGACCACAGTTCCTAACGCAGTCCCACTTCCCATTTGCTTCCTTGCTCTGTAGGGATTCTTCTCACTCATTCCATTACTCCGTCCATAGTCCCATATTGAGCACTCTTCATGTGCGGATGGATCTGCTTACCGCTGAGACATTCAGACAAAAAACTGCCTTTTTCGTTGAAAAACGCTCCTTAAAACCTTGCACTCAACAGCTGCTTTCTATTCTCATCGCTCTTGGCACTAGTTTCGTGATTAGTACCGATCGTGACCGCAAGGTCTAACAAATTACGCGGATGTTCTCACTTTGTGAAGTGGCAGAACACTGCCCCCGTGGTGGTTTTGTAGTGATATCGTTTTGATTATGATTTGTTATTGTTTGTTTTAACAGTTTTGGATGCTGTTATCTGTAGTCCATCAACATGTCCTGTGGATAATCCATAGTACATATTTCGAACAATCGACTCAGAAGCCCTACAGTTTTTTATGGGGGGAATTGCGGTAAGATCAAGATATTCCGTGGGTTGAATGGGAAATGATATTACTGCCAACAATGGCCTGTCAAAAGTGTGGTAAGGTTGATGTTTTCTTATGATTGAAACGGAGTTGCAGCAATGCTTAACACAATTTCAATGGTGTTGCTCATACATATACGAATTTCAGTACTGATAACAACGGGATTGCCTCTAAGTTACATGACGACTGCCTCTAGATCTCGATAATGCGCCGACAACGATGCATCTCAGATTTCGACATTTCAGCATTCATTTCAACTCATATCTCGTTGACGGATTTCAAAGCTGTACTCGTTACATCTCAACACGGAATCACCACGTCTTCATCGCCGATGGCTACTCACTCGTTTACGGGTGCGAACACTCTGTTTTTGTGCCATATGTCGTTTCTACAATCGGAAGGCCCTACAGCCGGTGACTACTCCTTGTCTGCCATCACCATGACACCAGGAGTAATACACGCGGGTGTGGCACCTTTCATGCTACTATTTGTACTTTGTATTTAGGTCTTTTTACTTCTTCGGACGTCTCAGATAGCGGTGTGACAGATTTCAGCCCTTGGCTCATGTAGTAGTGGTGTTGACAACTAAGGGCTGCCCCATACTAGTTTGAACGTAGTATTTCATGGTCTTTTCTTTACGGTAAGAGACATCACGTTTGTTAGGGATTCCCACACACAGAGTTCCCGCTTGCACATAATGCTCAGAATTTCCATCGCTCCACAAGTGGAGAAATCCTGGGTGTGGGAATTCCGCGCAAATGTCTGTGAACACCCTAGTTCCCGTCGGATCTGAGGGCTCTCAGTACCGTCGCAAGCTCCTCTTCACACCGATCCAGCCGACGAGTTAACGCCATTACTGTATCTTTCAGGGATGCGATCACAAAGGAATCTCCCTGAGATGTACCACGAAAAGTGTCCCGCTCTAGTGGCGGGTTTAGCGTCTTACCACTCTCGAAACCTCTGGTTAGCGAAGTTCTTTCAGGGGTGGATCTCGTGGTGGTGGCGGTGGTGTAGGATCCATTCACACTCTTTTCAAGCCGTTCGACTCTTTCAGGTATCTCCCCACCCTTGACAACATCCTCCAGTGCCCGCACTCTACACAGAGTGTTATAGTGTTCCCCTTTCAAATCTTCCTTTAGGCCCTTAACGTTTACTAAACTAGTCTCTAGACCTTTCTGGCCCCGCAAGCAAAACTGTGCCATGTCTCTTGTTTGGTACATAAAGGGGCTCTTTCCTGGAGCGTAGTACCCGATGTTACATCCTTGTTTGTCGGATCCTCCCTTCTCATTTTGTTCGCTCTGCTTCCCACTACTGTCCCATCCCCAGGTACTCCCTTGTCCACCTTTCCCATACTTCCCACCCTTCGGTGACGTGTCCCCAGCCTTGAAGCAGACCCTGCTACAGGTCTGTTGAGTCATTCCTTTGGATCGATTCTTTCCTCCCACCGGACTTCGAGTAGTACTCCCACGGTCACTTGCATAGTACAGAGGCTCGCTGGCGCTCTCCCCATCAGTGTCGCTCGTATCACTAGTGGCGGTACTATCTACTGCGCCCCCATTGGTGTTGTTGAAGTGGTTCTCAATTTCATCTACAGGTTCTGCATGATTATTGTTGACTGGACCTTCACCCCCAGTATTTAAACCACCCATGGTGTTGCTGCCTGGAATGTTGGTGCTTTGGGACGACCTCGGAATGTCAACACGGAGCCCTGCCTCAAACTCCGTAGACACAATCCCCAACTCGATCTGTCGCTGAAGCGCCACGTTGTTCCTCCAAGACATCGCTTCCTATGCTATTTAAGCTTGGGCACCAAGCTTATCGGCTGTAGATATAACAAGTGTCAGTAGGGGAGTTGTAAGTGTCTATCTTTGAATTTAAGTCCTTGTCAAAGCTTCGTAGTAGATCTTCCTGGCGTAGATATCAAAACTTTGAACCTACTTTCAAACGTTGCGGGTGTCATGAATGCTGATGTACAGACGCAAGCTTACCAGTACCATGATTGTCATGTCATTGATGGCGTTTGTATTGAACAATTGCTGCGAGTATTCTAGCAACTTCCGAGGGTGCTAGCTGATCACAAAACTCCATAACTTGGAATGGAACACCACGATCCAAGGTCTCATAGCAATACCAAGAGGATACTAACCGGAATCTTCGAATAGGGACCCACACCGAGATACTCCGACGAACGTCATACACGCAGAGAGTCGCACACGCCATTGTTATCTTGCCTGAGATGCCCTCAGGTCTGTTGCTCTCAACACTCGCGGCACACACCCAGCACTAAAGTTGGTTGTTGCGGTTGAATTTGTGATGATCGGTTTACGACATTCATGGCTTTAGGTGGGAATACTCGATCTGAGTCATGGCTTGAATGGCGGCATATGATCTAAATTTTGGAATCCCCAACTATCTGTGGGAATGTGACCATGTAGAAGAACACACGATGGCGGCAGTGACTGGGTGCATCATACCAACTCACGTATAAGCGTAGCAACATTGATGAATGAGTGCCGAAAAGCAATTGCTGGCGGTTTCTTCTTTTGTGCCCTATGTCCTATCTTACAATGTCACAAGAATGCATGATGATACTGTAGTGCGTGGTCCCAGTGATCTTTACTCCATTTTCAACACCCCAGATTCCTGAATGGACCTTCCGTGCTTTTACCCACTATTTGTCCCCAAGTATTAGTTCTGCGTCACTAGTAGTTGAAGGTAATATTTTGTAAGTTGTTCGAGTCGTTGTTGCAAGTTGTTTCACTTCTTATATCCCCTTTTGTCCCCCCTTCCCTCCTTTTGTGGACCCATGAGACAGGTTCCGAACCCAAGGGTTTAGGAACTGGCTCCAAGCCGCAATTGTGGCACGGAGAGTTCCATTGCACTCTATGTGTGGAGCACGTCGCACAAGTCGTGGCGCCATAAGTGGATCCTGAACCAAATTCCCAGTGCTTAACACCTCGGTCACCTCAAGGAATCGTTCTGCGAACACCTCACATGTCCGCTGTAGCTTGCTTCTCAAGACCTCAAAAAACTCTTTTTCCTTCAATTCCTGAGGTAGTGTGTCCAAAATGTCAACCGCTTCTTCACATGCGCCCGCCAAATTGCAAGTTGCAAACTCGTAGTCCCACAGCCGGTGCTTGCAACGCTCCACCACAGGGGGACCCCCACGCCCCATTGTTGCTAAGCAGCAGTCCAGAAGTGTCTTGTCCTGGATTGAGCCCCAATCCTGTAGTTGGAGGATGAGTGTGTCAAATGTGTCATTAATCACTTCTGAATTGTACCCAGTGGCACTACCTGATCCCTTCGGACCCGACATCATTGTAAAGTCTTGGTCACCAAGACTTGAACTCAATACCATAAGTATACTCACCTCCTCGTCGTATTGTTGTGACCTACAAACTACCACCAGTACGGTCTAAAACAGATTGAGCGCTTGACTTCAAACGTAGTATCGTTATATTGAATAAAACAATCCTGTCCGAGTAACGTCCCCCAGACTCATGCTCAAACTCCACACCTGCTTTCATTAGTCGTGAGATTTCTTGTAGTTGTGTACATGCATCTCGGACCAAGGAACATAGACC